AGACACTAATTTATTCACCTTTTTCCCATTCAGCACTTTGAATTTTGCGTAGTTTAGGTGCAAATATTCGTGGACAATTCGGAACAAATTTTCGTTTTTCAAGTTGGAGCCACAATCCTCTATTAATCCGAGTAAGTAAGTCATGGTGCAATGATTGATCATTACATCAGACAATTTCACGCATATTTTGCATAGCGTATGATTTTCAAATCGATTCATTTTTAAACAAATAGGTAATTTTGTTGGTTTTACTTGCTGTGCAATATTCTTTATCGCAACAAAACGCGAGTTATTTAATGTTTTGAACTGTCAAAATACAATGATCACAGCCTCCTACGATTGATGCTTGCTGACGCTGGTTATGAATTTCATACCATTTTAAAGCGCTCATAACGCATGTTAATAAAAACGCAGAAAAACAATTTTCTACAACTTGTAGTTATTCAAAACTTAGGTAAAATTAAAGAATATACTATTTTCTATTTTCAAATGGTATTCCCATGCAACTACAATGAGTAGAAATAAGCAATTTGAAGGCCTAAATAATTGCAGCGAAACATTTTTTTACGTCGGGCCGCTTGACAACTTCAAAACTGAAATTATATTCGAGGTTAGGGTCTCACTTAGTTACCATGATAACTCAACAATCAAGGCGACAACACCTTTTATGTTTCACTGGTGAAAATAATTTGCATTGTTGAGAAACGAAAAATAAATTTTAAAAATATTTAATTTTCAACCATAATTCGGCGTGGAATTTTCTTACCGAATACCACGCGAGGTCAAATTAATATCAGGAAATTTTTTGACCTCTAGTGGTATTACTAGTGAAAGTATTTTTACCTAGATTATAACCCTAGAGTTTTAAATCGCTACTGTCTTTCTAGCCATGATCTTTTAACGATTTTTATTTTAATGCTTACCATTTACTCGAGTAAAAGCTGACCCTGAGCCTTCATGCAATAATATAGGTTTTGTTTAAAATGCTCTCGGACATTTTCAAGCATCTGTGGGGTGATTTGATGACATTTATCAATTATCCGTTGACGCAGACTTTCCAGTAATGTTGGCTGGGTGGCATAAATTTTAGTTTTGGCCCTATAAAAAAATTAAAGGGGTTAGATCCGGAGACCGTGGGGGCCACTTAATATACTTCCTCTTCTTCCGGTCCATTGACCTGGAAACGTTTGATTCAAATACTGACGAACAGTCAGTGCAAAATGGGGTGACGCACCGTCTTGCTAGAATATTAAGTTGTTTGCTATGTACTAATCGTCATTCTCAATCAACTCTACTAATGCTGAATGAATGGCGTTTTCTAATAATTTCAGATACATTTCTGCGATTAAAGTTTCAGGTAAAAAAAGAGTCCACTTATACGGTTACCAAAAATGCCAGCCCAAGAATTCAGTTTTTCTGGATGTTGCGTATGCACTTCATGAAATATTCTGGGATTTGAAACGGACCAATAACGAGAGTTGTGACGATTTACCGTACTATGTAGGAGAAAAGTGTATTTGTTAGAAAAACACACCTTGAATAGAAATTGCTGATCATTTATTGCCCATTCAGTCAAAATTTCACAAAATTGTAATCCCTATCAAAATAATCTTCGTTAAGTTCTTGTACCAGATGTAATTTAGTAAAGATGAAACTTGTGTTTTTTCAGAATCTTCTCTTAATACCAGATGTTATCGCCAACTGTCTTGTACTCAATGTGGATTCCTGAACAACATACCCTAAAATCGTCACCTCTGTAGCTTCAGTTACTACAACATTTTCTATTTCACGTTTTTTGTTAGCTACTGACCCAGTTTCCCAAAATTTTTGGACAAGTGCAAACTATTATTTCGATGGCCACAGGACTAAAACTAGAATTGTTACAAAAAATATTTTTTTTATATAACAATGTTAAACTGGTTTTGTACTGTATGGGCTACGTAGATAGTAGCGATGTAAAACTCGGGGGTTATATTCTTGTTAAAAATACCTTAAAAGTAAGATATCATTCGACCCCTCTTTCCATTTAAGATTTTATGGGCGAGTCTCACCTCCGCTAGAAAGTTTCCATTCAAGGGGTGAAACTGGCAAAAAAATGTTTCCCCCTAAAATCAAAAATTGATGAGTCCGAGCGTTTTTTAGTCAATGACCTGGGTTACTCGCGAGCCTACCAGAGAGTTATTTCTGACTCTTAATGAACTGTCGCCCAAAGACGGCTCTGTTCTTTATTTACTATCTTACCCGCGATATGAAGTCGAGCTCTGGCCATATAGAGACAAATGCATTCCTTCGAGAAGCTACCAGAAAAAGCATCATAGATGACGAAATTCCAGAGTTTCTAGACGGTCGAGAATGTTCTAGTGCAGAGCTGGCTTTATATAAATAGCGCGAGTTTGTCGATAGAAGTTAAGTTTCAATTTAAGTGCTGTATAGAAAAGATAAATTGTAATAAATAATAATAAGAGTTAAAATAGTGTCCAAGTATTAAATAAATTAATTAGTACCTACGTTATAAATAAACTGTCTTTAATAAATAAACTATTTTTAAATTAAAGAATCGTTACAGAACGTTCTTTTTTAACGGTGCTTGATGATATGCAGCAACTTCCAAATCTTCTCTCTTTGTAGACCGTTATTAGTCGTTATTTTTTGACGTCATAAGGTTTTATACACCAAGAATAATAAATACTTAAGTCCAGGTTCAAAGCGTTGTCAATGACAAGTGACGGCGACTTTTTTATCACAAAAAATACAGCTCCGAACGATAATATTTTCAGAAATTGTTTTTAAAAATGGGTTCAGAGCAAGGTAAAGAATGGTGGAAAGGCTATTGTGTATTTTACTTTTAATACATAATATTTTTAATAAGTGATATTTAACAAATAATTAAAAGTTATGGACTTTTCACCATTTTTTATAGTATTTAATAGTTAAACTCTTTTATTTTTGCCCTAATTATTTCAGGAAACTCGTGTTAAGATTCAAAAATCTACTGTCAATGAGGTGGCGCCAATTTGCAACCGTGCTAATTCGAGACATACATTTTATTAAACTCACAGCTTACAAGTCTGACAGCCTATCAAACACTGATACATCATCGAGGTATCCTGTCGCTCTACCAAGTTGGGCCACGACAGCTTCTACATTTCACTTATTGGCACGTTTTATCTACGTTGTGCTATGGGTGCTTGCACACCCCGAGCCACGGGTATTCGGCGCCTATGGTATTCACCATTAAGCGATATTTTTATGCACGACTGTCACGAGTGAACTACCTTAAAGTTTTTTGAACTGAATCTGTGACTATCACTTTTTTATATTTTTTAATAGTATTTAATAATTATCAGGACAAACGAAAATGTCTCATTGCAATCAGTAAACATTTTACTATAAGCTGCCAAAGTTTCACTAAAATCCATCCAGTGAAAGATAAGTTCTGTAAAAAATCGTAAACCTCTGTTTTGACCACGTAAAATACACTGAAATGGCGGCCTTAAGTGAACTTTCAGTAACTCTCTATTAGCGACACAAACTATTTTTTAAATAAAAAATATCCCATCTTTCAATTACCTAATTACAATTTTAAGGGAAAGGAAGTGAATAGGGGTTCTGGGTAGGTAAAACATCGTCAGTAGTTATATTATAAAATATTGTTGGAGAAAGGAAAATTATTAAAAATGAATTGCTGTAATTTTGATAATAAATAATTGGATAATACACTTTTTGTGTGACTTGTCAACAGTGTATGACCTAAAAGTAGCATTTCTGAACTTTACTTTGAGACAATTTGTGAAATTTTTATTTAAAAAAATTGTGTAATTATTGATTTGCACAAGATATGGAACTAAGGTTTTTTGTTTACAAGAACGTAGGTATGCTTAGTTTTTTCATAAATGAAAAGAGCTTAATCTAGACAATAACCACAAAAAATTTTCTTGAAATATAGAGTTAATCTACTCTTCAGCTACTTTATAATGTTAAATCAGCTAAATAAAATATTTTTATACTATTCAAATCTAAAAAGCTTTAATTTATTTACCGGTCAGAGCCCATTTAAACAATACAATTACAGAAAATACATATCACATTCATTAAATAGTTTAATAAAATCCTAAATAATAATAATTAATAATAATAATAAATTAATTTAAATATATACATATTAAAAAACAATTAGAAATCTAATATCTATTCCTCACATATACATAAATTGGTTAGTAAATTCTGATGGAAAAGTAATCCATTCTACATTTAGTCAATTAGCAGATCTTGTCACTCTAGGAATAAAAGAATGAGAACTAAAATTTGTTCTATGGAAATGTTGGGAAAATGTATTAATATTCCTAGTTACTATAGAGGGTACAGAAAATCCAATTTTGGATAACAAGTAGGGAAGATCCGCAGTTGAGATAATGTTGAACAATATTTTAAGATCCATTTGGTTTCTTCTGCTCAGAAGGGTCTCAAAATGACAAATTGTGTGTAATTCGTCATAATTGTACCTGAAGCTGACCAGGCCGATACCCGATTTATCGCAACAATGTGTAAAAATTTTCTTTGAACCTGTTCTATATTATGGATTAGATATACATATTATTAAAAGAATACAATTCCTACTGTAAGTGTAAAATAAAATCGAGAATAAAATTAATAAAATACTTGTAGTTGATTGACTCTTATTTTAATGTACAAATTATTCAATCTAGTCAAAGGAATAATAAATAATTTAAGTAGTATGCCTATGTGAAAAGAAGGTCTTTAATTTAATTCCTGAATATTTTTTCTATAATTTCCCTATGTTTATTGGTAAATGATCTTCTAGTAGGTATAAAATACTGAGTCTTATGAATATAACTTTTTTTATAACAAATTAAATATATAAAAAAATAGAGGAAACAAAACTAAACAAATTATTAAAACTATAACATTCATCTTAATGTGAAGAATACTAGTACATGAAGAGTTTTGTTTTTAATGTTCACTATAATATAATATTTCAGAACAAATTTTGTCTCCTCCATCACCAAAGTCTGTACAAAATGGTCTTATTGATGAAGAAACATTAGCAGCTAACAGAGCAAAACTAGCTAAGAAAATGCAGAAGAAAAAACCGGAAGTAAAGTAAGTCTTAAATAGTTTACTTTTTATTATTATTGTTATAAAAATGTTACCCTTTTTTTTTAGAAAAAGCCCAAAAAGTCCATCCGCTTCCGAGAAAGAAAAAGCTGGCAAAAAACCTAGGGTGTGGGATTTGGGCGGTACCAACAAAGATTTGGAAAATCTAGAGAGAACTACAGATAGACCTGAAGATATAAGAAGCAATTTCACACCTGATACAGAAGTAAGAAACCATTATAATTATTTTATCGTCAACTGTCATTAAAGCCCTGCATTACCATAGCGATTTGCGGAAGTAAACAAAAACATTATCTCACTGTAAAAATCAAATATTTTATCTGTCGCTAATATTTGTCAACATAGCCATGACCATCTGACAGCAATAGTCTGTAACTGATTTGTTTTGTATTCGCTGTTATTTTTCTGTTTGTTTACTTTGTCATACTAAAATGTGATGTTATATATATATATATATATATATATATATATATATATATATATATTTCGTTTTATAGTAATTATAATTATTTACGGTTGGCGATAAAAGTTTGTACGGACCACGTCAGCAAAGTGTCTTTATCGAACTTGCCAGTTACTCGCCTCGCTCGCTTCTGTCGCTCAGCTCATAATCACAGACTAGTTCGATAAAGAATCATTTTGCTGACTTGGTACATAAATAACTATTATTGAGAATAATATTGTTGGCTACATATTTTCTCCATACTCTTCATATTATATTTCCAAATCCATTCTTTCATTACCATCTATCTTTGAACTTAGATAGGTATAGTTTTGTATTTTTTATTTATTTCTATGATTTATAATCAGGTAGAGTTAAATCTATCCCAGCAGAGCTATCGGGATATATAGTATAGACCAGTGTTTCTCAAAGTGTGCTCTGCGGAGCTCTGGGGCTCCACAAAGCCTCTGTGGGGGCTCCGCGAAAAATAATAGTCATAATAAAAAAAAAATACTAAGAGGAAGTTCGCCGCCACAAAAGGGAGTACCTGGTTTTAGATTTCATTAAAAAAGGATCTGATTTTGCTTGAGGACTTTATTTTGGAAATGCAAAATAAAATTAGGGCTCCCTCAAGTATTTCGCTTTTCTAAAGGGTTCCTTCGCCAAAAAAGTTTGAGAAACACTGGTATAGACTATCAAATGCTTTCCAATATGTCTTACCACAAGTGCATGTGAAAACTACAGAGTGTTAGCATTAGTGCAAGCGGGAATCGAATATCAGAGTTGCCAGTCTATAAGGTCCGGCCAATGTTACAACACGGGTTTGTTTTTATCATGAGTTATTGGTTATCCACCTACTCACTGTCTTTCTAGGATTTGCTTGTTCCGAACAGATGTAATGGCAATTCTGATTCCTTTTTGGCATCAGTTCTTTCATTTATTCCAAACCACCTCTCACTGGATTCTCTTTTAACTAATGACAGTTAAGGCTGCTTTGCTGTAGTTTTGTATATTAATGAATTATTTTTAATTTTTTAGATTGTTGGTCAAATGAAAGGAGTAATTAAGGATCTAGAAGTCGAATCGTCAGACGACGATTACGAGGATGATGAAGAAGAACAGGAGATTGCACCTCAGCCAAACAAGACTTCCTCGAAAGGAGGAATGTTCTCAATTTTCAAAGGTCTCGTCGGTTCCAAAAATCTGACCAAAAACGACATGACGCCTATTCTTGAAAAAATGAAAGACCATCTAATCGGCAAAAATGTCGCCGCCGACATATCCGAAAGGCTATGCGATTCAGTCGCGACCAAATTGGAGGGCAAAGTTTTGGGAACTTTCGATAGCGTGGCTTCGACGGTTAAAAATACGTTAACGGAATCGTTGGTGCAAATTTTGAGCCCCAAAAGGCGGGTTGATATTCTCAGAGATTGCATAGAGGCCCAGAAACAAGGGAGACCCTACATTATGACTTTTTGTGGGGTAAGCATTATATTTAACAATTATTTTGGTGTTAATTATATTTTATAAAAATATATTTTTAAACTTATATTTAATTCAACTAAATAATCATGATAGGGAATACACATGGCACAAAAATTATCGGGTTACTTATTTATTTACTTACTTACGGGTCAGAGCACATCAAAACATAATACAATTATAGAGAATACGTATCACAGTCATTAAATAGTAATAAAATCCTAAATAATAGTAAAATAATTTAATAAATATATTACTATTATTTCTGCGTCTTTTCACTCAAATAAAATAGGAAATTGTATTGGTGTACCTCAGGGAAGCGTATTGGGCCCTTTACTCTTTTTACTTTTTATTGACGATAAAGTACAAATAGTCAATGAGTGCTCAATGCACTTATTTGCAGATGATGCACTGATTTATTTTTCTTCCAATGACCTTCGCCATTTGGTTGTTGTTATGAATGGTGTTTTAAATCGTGTAAATGAGTGGTGTTGTGTCAATTACCTCAAAATTAATTCATCAAAAACGAAATAGGGAACACCAAATAATATGATGATTTTAACAATAATAATTTGAAAATTTGTTTAGGAAACCAAGAAATTGAATTAGTAAAGAAAATAAAATATTTAGGTGTTATTGTCGATCACACATTAAATTTTAAAGATCATGCCAACTATATAATTAAAACTTTTTCTTTTAAAATTAATTATTTGTAAAGAACTTCAAGCTCCCTCGATCAGGGGACCAAAACAATTTTGTACAACACATTGATGCTTCCACATTTGACTTATTGCTCATCAATATTATACTTGTTAAATCAAAATGAATTAAGGTTTACGTTCGCCAATTTTGCATGTACGAAATGAAAAGCATACCTCGGAAGTGTAGTGCGGCAAGGGACGTTTGGGAGATAATGGGGTCCTGCCTACCGATACCTGCACTTGTTATACTTTTGAAGCCAGAGCCGCACTAGTCTACGCGGCGTAGGCCACAATTTGTAAATATTTATACGGGACCGTGCAGCTCAAAATAAATATAACGTGGGCGTACAAAAAAAATCCACAATTTCCAAATATGTAGATTTCAAAAAAGTAGATTTTAATATATTTTTCAATATTTATTAGGGAGTGAAAAATAAAATAAAAATTAACACGTTTATTATTATTATTGAATTGACCGTAGTTATACTTGGTGAATTTTTTGTTTTAATAAAATATAATCTATACTGGGCACCTATCCTCCACTAGTGCGTTTAAGCGCTCGCTTTGAAGATATGTGAGTGGTTCAATGCGAAGACGCATTAGAAACCGTATTCTTAACCCTTCGTACCTGTGCCTTCGTAATCCTCTTTTATAAATGCGAATGGCAACTTGGCAACCATGTATGATCGACGATTATTTATGTTAAATTGTCTGCTAGAAAGGGGACTCAAAGTTCACACCGCTTGTTTTGTGAAAGTTATTCGCAAAAAAGAAGCAATATTAATATGAGTAATGGTTTTGAGCATGAAGTCGTGGTTTTGGGTTGTTTTTTGATGTACTGTTTGGCTATACATAATTTGCAGCGTTATAAAATGGAAAATATTAGTAAAAAGACACTTATAATTAAACGAAACAATCTGATAAACGCTTGATCAGAAAGTCTGAAAGGAGCTTTCCTATCATCATAAACTCTTCGAGGATGATTATTTGCCTCTTCTAATTTGTAATAAGATATTTAAAAAAATTATATTTGCCATCATACCTATAGGTCACGATCAATTTATGAAACAAAACAAAAACACTGCAATATTAAAACGTGCATCCAGTTAGACTTTCGCAAGCTCTTTGGACCTTCGCATTTGAATGCGAAGAGCAAAAACCCACTCGCTGTCAAATGCGCACCCGCAATATAAATTCGAACGACCAAGAATAGCTACAACACGCTTTTGAGCAAATACGCATTCGCATTTAGTAAATGCGCATTCGCATTGATTAAAGCACCAGTCGAGGGTAGGTGCCCTGCACTCAATCGCTTTAGTTATCACGAATTTGCAAAAAATAGACGCCCACGATATATTGTAAGTGCGTAATTATATATTTAAAAATAAATATATATTATAGGAATATAATCATACAGGGTGTTTATTAATTGAGTGGCAATACTAAGGAATGTAAATACTTGGGTGATGTCGTAAACTTCTTAATTTTTGAACTACAGGGTGTTACAATTTTAAGAAAAAAAAAATAACTTTTTCATCATAATTTTCATATCATTCCAGATATTTTTATGAAATTTTGTATATACCTTTTAATCATTAAGTAGAATTTTTTGACGTAAAAATTTTTTATAAATTTTTATTAGTGACGTCCGAACGGGGTTCAAACTGAATATTTTTCGAGTAAAAATAAAAACCAAACAAATTATTTTTATTCAGATCGTTGAAACTGCTTTTGATATTTTGTTGAAATTTGGTACACACTCAGCATGCGTGGAAACACTTTTTTTGGGCAAAATTTAATAAAAATATCTGAAGTGATAAGAAAATTATGATAAAAAAAGTTATGTTTTTCTTAAAACTGTAACACCCTGTAGCTCAAAAATTAAGAGGTGTACGACAAATGTTAAATCATCCAAGGATTCACACCCCTTAAGTATCGGCATTTAATTATTAACCACCCTGGATAGGTATTTAACAACAGTTAAATGCTTTTATAAATAAATGGAAGTAGAATTTATTATTTTTATTAAGAAAAATATAAACATCCTACAATTAGTGCAGGGCATAGTGGCGCATTCGTTTGCAAAATTGTTTTAATTCGTAATTTTTTTTTTAAAATGTCCGAAAGGCTTTCCTGATTATAAAAATGTAAGATGACACTCGATATCTGTTGTTTAAATAACGAAAAACTAATTAAGCCAGAAAAAATGCATTTTTTGCAATGAATTAATTTTTTTTATATTCTTTAGGATATTTCGAATAAAAAAAGTCCTTACGCCTATCATCGTATCTTTAACCCTTTAATTGTTATGAATGTTTTAAAATCCGAAATTGACGAAAATTCTAATTTTCTTGAATTAAATAATATACCTTAAAATTTAAAATGTTATAATTTTAAATTTTTTACCGAATATTCAAACTATAATAAACAAAATTACCTAAATAAATTTTCAAAATTTTGTTTGTTGTTATGTTTTTTTTACGTTATAACAATATGCTTCCTACGCGCGTGTACTTTTAGAGAGAAGTATTTCTATCTCACTTCCAACTCAATGTATAAGATGGGTAAGAGAAAGCCTGATGACGCGCTGAATCAATTTTTTGCTGTTTTTTCAGAGGTAATAAGTTTAAAAAAATTATTATTAACATTTTTCATAACACTTTGTTATATTTGCCGATTAATAGTTTTGTACCATTTGATTTTTTTTTTTACAACGAAATATCGGAAATATTAGAATATCCACAGTCTAATTTCTTCTTTATTACCCTTTTTTTGATCGTTTTTCATACCTATTGTAGGTTTTTAGTCTCTTTATCGTCATCACATTTTCTTTGATCTTTTATATATATATTTCATCGTGTAAGTTCCAGTTGGTTTCCCTGTTGTCTTATTTTGTAACATTTCATATAAAGTTCTTCCGTCATTAACGCTTTTAACAGCAGCATGGCATCTTGCATTGTAAGACCCTCTGGAACAGTAGGATATACGCTTCCCACCTATGTACTTTGCAACGACAGCATTAAAATTTTCTGCGATGTGTGCGCTGACGTCATAAATAAGGCTGTAGCTTTGGTCTGCAAAGTTTTGTAATTCTTTACAAATAACAATTCAAAGTGTTAATTATTGTATTGTCTGATAGGTTATTGCCAGAACAAAAATATCAGTGAAATAGCGCTCGGGTCTTTTTAAGAACTATTTAATTCATTTTAAAACTTCAAAATTTTTATGCCAACTGTAAGAAAAAATAGTGCAAGGGTTGGGTTTCTACCTCTTAAAAGACTTCTAAATTACTGCGAAAGAGGAAGTTAGGTAAGAATCATTTTGGAAACCAAAATGCAAAAATGATTTTCATTTGCGGTATGAGATAATAATTTTAAAACTAAGGTTACTAAAAATTTCATGTTGATATAACGCTATTAGTTTTTGAATTTAAGAACTGCTCTTTTACGAATAAACTATGAAAGACACCAACACCTGTTTAATGAGATTTTGGTTTAAACCCTTTGAATAAAATCCAGGAAATAACTATCAATACCTGTTAAATGAGATTAAGAGTTTTACCCATAATCCATTAAGGGTTTTATCCTCAAATATTTTATATAAATACAATAGGTATAATGTTTACAGAATTTTATTATCTATTTAATATTTTAAGTTTATTTACCTACTTCCTACATATTTTACGAGTATATCCTACCTTCTTAGATACAAACGAGGTACAAGTGTCCTACACAATATATTTATTGAAAAGTAAAATTACTTTTGTTAGTGTTTGGCATTTTTATTCCCTTTATTCTCATAATTCAATGTGTACTTTTTATATTTTTTTTACAACGAAACCTTTATCAATTTTTCTATAATACGAATACATTTTTTATATACTTAATATATTTAAAATTGAATGTGTGAGAAGTCTGCAACAAAGTGCGTTATGACTATTTTTTTAACGCGAACGTAAACTTTAAGAAGTAGAATCCAAAAATTATGACTTTCAGCCAAAGATTATTTTTTATTTCAAACTCTAATTTCAATTTTTAAAATAAAAAGAGGGATAGCGCCTACATACTTGGTAAATAAAACCAAATACAATTTTCGAGTCCACACTTATAATACAAGACAACCATAATGACTTTTATATTCCACAAACCTTCAGTAGTAGTGGAAAAAACTTTATTTGTTACTGGTTTATAAACATTAAATAAACTACCAGTACATGTGAAAAGCGCTTATTCACTTACTAATTTTCAGCATGAACTAAAGCATCACTTATAGACATAATTTTATAATATTACAAGATTTCTACCCTCTTTAACAGTCTTTTTATTTTGAAATATTTATATATATTGCAAAATTATATTTTATTTATACTCTTATTTTTTAATCACTGCTATTTTTATGTACTATGTATTTTTTATTACCGAATGTATTAGCAAAATTGCTAAATAAAGGACTTATATATAATAATATAGTTCCTTCATTTTGCATCAAGGAAAATAAAGATAAAACAATAATTATATTTGGTTTTGACAAGAATAAAGAGAGAAACTCAGTCGGCGAACCATGATTGGACTCATCCCACTACCTCTACCGGTAGTGGGATGTATGTTTTCTTTTATCTCTTTCTATTCAACATCATCATTAATCTACGGGATAGTGAAAAGGTCTGGCACCAAGGTATTTTCTTTGAAACGAGTGCATAATAATTATGAAATTGTAGGGTGATGAATGCGACTGCGTTACATTAATATCGTTTTTTTTTCTAATCCTATACAAACAGGGTAGCGAAAAAGTCTAGCAACAAGGTATTTTAGGATGATGAAAGGTATTACATTAGTTATGTAGTGCTTTTTTATTATTCTTGAAAAAAGAAAAAATGGCCTACGTTGCCATTTAAACAAATTCAAGATGACGTCACATAATTTAACATGTTCTCTAAAAAATGCAAAATAGAATCCCATTCATCACCCTACAATTTTATATTTATACATTATTCGTTTCAAAGAAATACCTTGTGCCTGACTTTTTTGCTACCTTATATACTGTTTTCATGGAGTCAGTATTGGAAAGTTAACTTACTGAGTATCTTCTCTTTAATGATGGTTCAAAATTTCAAATTTAGAATAAAATGTGAATGATCATCAAGTATAAGAAATATTTTGAATTTTTTCAGATAGCCACCTAATTGTTTAGGTAGTACGGAATTCCTTTAAAAGTTTTTCGAAATTCCTGAAATCCTTTGGTAGTCCTTCATTTCCTGATATAGAAATTCCTGTGTACACAATTTCTCTAATAAATTAGAGACAGTAATTTTGCACTGTTTTATATTTTAAAGGTGAACGGAGTCGGAAAATCCACGAATCTAGCCAAAATCTGCTTTTGGTTGATAGAAAACAACATGCGAGTGCTGATAGCAGCTTGCGACACCTTTAGAGCCGGTGCTGTTGAACAGTTACGTACCCACATGAGACACCTCAACGCTCTGCACCCCGCCGATCGACACGGAGGCAGACAAATGGTCCAACTGTACGAAAAAGGGTACGGAAAGGATGCCGCCGGTATCGCCATGGAAGCCATAAAATTCGCCAGAGATTCCAGAATTGATGTTGTGCTGATCGATACTGCTGGACGGATGCAGGTAATAAAAACTTTAAATTTGAACAGCCAGTCCATAAACATCTATTTCTTTATGCATATGGGCACATGATTGACTAGTTTGTTTCACTTTTGTATTTGTATTTATATTAGACGACGCCATTTATATAAATTCATTTTTAAGATTACTCCAGAAGGATTAATCTTAAGGCAAAAATAGTAACAACCAATCGGTGCCTGGTTTTCTTTGGATATAATTTAATGCCTGTTGCGGTATTAGATATTATTTTCTGCATGGTTTTGAGATTTTATTGTCTCTCTTTATTGTACGTGAGTTTGGGATAATTTTCCTTTTTAAAATTGCCCTCCCCTGCTTTTATTCCATCTAGTTTTTGAAATGGATATTGTTATGTGAGCCGTTTCATTATTCAGCCATGCTCTAATCCTCCAAGTCCCTCTCTGTCTTATTTGGCCTTTGAGGCTCAACTTGTCCAATTATCATACATAATTAATCCCCTTAATACCAAATATATGTGACGGCTATGGCGGAGGCACTTCCGCGAACATTCCTGAGTCAACGTGATAATGTTTCTGGTATATTCCGGATATGAGATATTTTGGTGGAGGAGCATTCTGGAATCACCAATTTGTTTATAAATATATTGGTGGACGATCAACAAAAAGTCATTAGTAGATAGACAGTGGTGAATATAAATAGTGAACGATTCAAAGACATTCGAAATATATATAAATTAGAATAGTTGTGTTATAAAATAAATAAGTGTTTAAATAAATTATTAATAAATAAACTGTTGTTTAAAATAAACAAACATCACAATACGTACTACAAGCTGATTTTGCTTTCAACATAAAGGTAAATAAGTGAATTTTACACACCTACTACAGCTTCCATTGGAGATTGGAACTGAAAATGTCACCGACGATTCTTAATAAAAATGAAACTGGTACTAAAATGACAGTCTCAATATCAAAACTAGAGATTTTTTCTTTTTTGACTTATTTACATCATTTGACTGGATTTCTTTCGCTCTATATATTGGTGAAGTCCTCTAAGAATTATAAACTTATTTTTAAATTATTTCTATATTCATTAGGTCCATAATAGCATTATTTTGTTTAGGAAAAATACAGTGACTTAATGGATTTTTCATCAAATCTGACTTAGTGTGTTTTGCATGTAAGCTGGCAAATATTGTATAACCTATCCTGCAAACATCGATTTCACATACCACATTCCTAAATATAATACGATTTAAATGTATCGTCGTCTCGATCACATATGTACCGGCAGAATCACGCCACATTCTTTCGTACCCGCTATCTCACATGTTGCAATGCTTGTCTCACTCCATCGAATTAAGTTCACTAGAATATTCTGGACTCTACTAAAGCCACGCCTATTCACACAAGAACCAACTACAAATTTCGCCACTCCTCACTCTCGCAGCTCGTCATCCAACAGAATGGATGTCATCATCATTCGGTTAACCTCAAAAGTGCTAACATGTAGTTCCCATGAACTTTAATAACCATTAATAATAACCAATTAAGCGTCTTACCCAGTAAATTCCCTGTAAACAGATACTTTGTTCAATCATGAGTCAATGTTCGAAACACAAAAGCCTTTGTGTACAAATGTAAAAAGTATTTGTTTTGCGTTTCCAATAGTGGAATAAACAGTGTAGCTTCTTTAGTCGGCATTTAATTTTCCGTCCACTGCTGAAAACACTGTAATTTTGTCCAGGGTAAACCTGAAGAATTTCTAAGTGCAGAAAAACAGTGTGTCTTAGACAATACTTATTACTTAATTAGGCATACAAAATCTAAATGATTATTTTATTTAATTATTTATTTCAACATACAGTGGTTGATGCAAACCAAACTGTTGACGAGTTGAACATATAGTGTAAAAATAATGGTCTCCTGGTTAATGAAATAAAAAAAACCGTATTCATGCTATATTAGCCTAAAAATGCATGATATGATGTGCATCACCTCTAATCAGATTCATCCATGGCACAATTGAACACGTAATTGATTAACTTAAAACTGTTGAACATGGCTACATGGCTGAAATAAAAATAAACATGTTTATTTCTTGTGCAAACAACCATCGAGGTTAAATTTATTATTCTTGGCTTCAATTTCCACGGTCATAAAACTTATGATACAATAATAATCAACAGTCAAGAAGCACCGATCGAAAAATGGAAGAAGATTAAAAAAAAGAAGAAAATATATGTTCAGGACAGGGATTCTTATGTGCGTACTCAACACGTAACGAATCAAATAGAGAGAGACATTACATACAAATCGCATTATGTGGAACGAAAATAGTCGTCTCAACACGTGCCGCATTGAAAGATGAGAATCCCAATGCATATTGCAAAGGAACTATAAATTCTGAATTTTACCTTTGTGATTGCTGTCAAAAGAAAATACATTAAAAGTAGCGGTCTAAATGTTTCTGAAAATAAATGCATGCCAATACAAAAACGTAAGTTGATGCTATTTTGTGAAGCCAGTAGAAAACTTATTAGCAAATTACCATCCATAATGGAAATTTTAGAAGATGTAAAACAAGATGTGTAAGATTTAAAAAACAAAAAATTAACCTGCTATTATACAACCCACTACAACTTATGCACAATCCCACCAAGATGCAAAACACGCCGACACTATTAATAAAACCAAAATTTAAACAAGATGCGAAAACAACCTAGCAAGATATTCAACGTAATATTGACCCGAATCAATTAGAAGTTAGCATTAAAAGTCTTCGTGCAACAAAACAAGGAAATGTGATAGTTAAATGTGAATCCAAAGATGAAATTAAAGCAATAAAACAAGCAGTAGGACATTCAATAGATAATAAATATGAAGCTCAAATCTCTCAATTAAAGCTTCCAAAAATTAAAAGTGTAGGATATACAGGAATAGAAAACCCCAAAATAATTGAAGAGTCAATAAAACATCAAAACAAATGGATTAAAATTTGACAAAAATATGCAATTACGATTTTGCCGAGTGTTCTCCAGGTCTATTTCATAAGATGATTAACTGTGGAAAAATATTTATTGGATCGCAGAGATACCAAGTGTATGAAGACCTATCTATAATGAAATATTTTAACTGGCAGTTTACCATAAAACTGTTAATTGTACCAATAAAAGAAGCTGTCGTGATTGTGCTGATGAACGTGAAAAAAGCATATGTCAAACACAAATAAAAAAGTGTTAGAACCGTATATATGCCAATCTTTTGTATAAAACAAAATATAATGGGAGTCATCCAGTGACTGACACAGACTGCCCAACGCTTAAATTCCATCTGGATATTTTGAGAAGCAAAATAGATTAAAGTGTATAAATGTTGTTAATTTTAAAAATTGTTTATATTAACTATTGTAGGTAAGTTGCTCTTTGCTCTAACATTTCTACAGCTTGCTGATGGTTCAGTTAGATGAGGATGTTGTTCTAGAGGAACTCGAAAGTATAGAAAGTAATAAAGGAGAGTATATTAACAATATTAATAACAGCTATAATCTACACAATGTCTTAAGTATTTTACATTTGAATATTCATAGCAATAAAAAAAATTTGATGAATTAATGGCTACTCTTGAAAGATATAATACAATATATGAAGTTATTATTTTAAGTAAATCCTAATTTAATATACCTGGATACACTACATTTTACAATTACTCTGATTATAATAAAAATGATGGCATCATATTTACTAAATCAAACCTATACGTTTCATCAATAAGAAACTTACAATATATGGAGTTATGTTAAGTATCTTAACTACAACCATTATTTTAAAATGTTTGTAAACGTCCCCATATTTTATTAAATATTGACTGGCACCAGAAGATGGAACTGTGTTTCCGAAACATATGTAGTGCCTATACTTAAATATTATAAAGAATAAAACGACCGAATAAACCGTTAAACTTTTTATTTATATAAAATATATATTAAAAGTTATATTAAAAAAAAACAGGGTATCCAACTAAATTAATTTATGGAAAGGATATATGCAATATACGAACTTTATACTTCCACAATCTGGCAACTTATACGTACCAGAATAAGCATCGCACGTATATAACTTCTAAATTACTGAGAGTACCTACGACTAACAAAAATATCAACTAACGTTTTACATATAATCTTTTCTCCATTACATATTAGAGAAATTCGAAAGTATAAAAAATTTTCATATAAAAGTAAATTGTACATTAACGACAATTATCACCAGTTTGTGGGGATGTTGGAGTGAAGAGCTGCTTTACCCTGGGGTAAAGATTATGAATATTAAAATTAATATTGATATAAGGGTATTGATGTCCCATTTTTTTTTATCATAATTATTATATAAAGAACGATAATGCACAGCCAAGTGTTCACTCATTTACATGCATGTCAGATTTATAAATATATTAAATTGTAAATTGTTTATTAAAATTGTACAGACATTAAAATAAAATAATAATTTAATTAAAAAAAAAAGAAAAATCAATTTAAATACCTAGGTGTTAATCACAAACTGACATGGGAAGCACATACACAAAAGTTAACCTCAAATCTAAGTAGCTTATGTTTTCTAATTAGAAACCTCAAAGGAACTGTAACGAATTAGGTACTCAAATTAGCCTACTTTGGCCTGGTTCAATCCGAGCTATCATATGGAATAGAATTCTGGGGAATTCAGATCACATGCATAATGTGTTTGTTATACAAAAGAAAATAATTAGATGCATGGCCGGTGCACATACGAGGGAACCATGCAGAAACCTGTTTTACTCACTGGCAGTTTTAACATTACCCTGCCTCTATATCTTAACATTACCCTGCCTCTATATCTTAACAATAACTACATGTATCTATATGAAAGAAGTACTTAAAAAATAACTCAATCCACTCACATGGGACCTGAAAATGCAACGAATTACGCTTACCATACTCACGTCTGGCACTGTGGCAGAACTCTGCAACCTACCAGGGAATCTTATGCTATAATCAGGTGGTTAGTTTATTCGGTATTTTTGAAAATGTTAATAAATTTTAATCAGTCTTGCTCACATATTTGCTTAAAAATGCTTTTTACTAGACTGCGGAATTTCTCAATTCAGTGAAATAAAAATTTTGTAATCTATAATGTGATGTAATGCCTCTAAATGTAAATTTTATATTCTATATTCTATAGGTTTGTTCCAACAACGATCCGATCGAAACTAGTCATTGGCACCAGGATTCTGCCCAGTATATAAGTTTGGGTCCTAATAATCTACTGCGCAGAATCTGCTGAGTATGACTGGTTTCTGATAGTTGTTGGAACAAACCTTATGTATGTTATGTAAGTTTTACATGAGATTTGTTATTTATGTATGTAAGAAGATGGATGGTTGTGTAGACTATGCTCTGACTAGCTAATAAACAAATTTGTGTAGATAAAAAAAACTAAAGATGAAATGAAAATGATCGAAATGAATCGATATATTCAAATTAAAAAAATCGATTTAATAGTTTCGCTAGTTTATGTAAACTATGATGTAATAAATTGTGTAAAAAAGGAAATAATTCCAAACTCAAATGTGAAGCATGGCTTTGAGATTATTTTGATTATATTTTAATAAATTATGTCACTCAACCATAAACAAAGTCACCAAAACAGAAAACACAGAGTGGAATAGTTCTCGGTTCTCGATTTTTGGGATAAAAGTTTTATTATGACACTTAAATAGTTTACAAATGAATATAATATACCAGTACTATAAATACATATTTAAATATTCGTTTTTATCACATTTAACCTATTTACCACTTACCAGCTAGGTACAATTTTTAGCAGAATAATTTTTCAGGCTACAGTGCAATTATTAAATTGAAACTGGCCACCGCAATTTTATATTCTTGTAAAATATTTGTCAGCGTGCATAGATTTGGCAATCTTGACAAAGAAACAAGTGCTCTTGAAATGTCACATGTAAAAATCGTACTACTGCTAAATACAATTTCTTGCCATCTGTGTACAATTTATTGAAGATTTGCTTTTATACAAAACATGGCACAATTGTTGCACCCTTAAGATGATTACAGCGCCCCTTATAATTTTCGGGCAAGGATATCTCAAGAAGTAATTTTCTTAAAAAATACAATTTTGGCCAAATAAATAAGGCAATAATATCTAGAATATGCATATATTTTAAAGTTTTAATTCCTTCCAGTTTCCAAGAAAAAAAATCCAAGGGCTTTAAATTTTGAAATATCATAATGAAAATAAATGCATTCCTCAACTGCACTATTCTATCGGAAACTGAAAAGATTTAAAACAATAACATATACGCATATCTAGATAATATTACCTTATTTATTTTGCCAAAATGTAAATTGTTTAACAAAATTACTATTAGAAATATCCTTGTCCGAAAATTATAAAGGCAGGTACAGATCTGAGCACGTACCCGTATTAGGCAAGCCGATGACGCATGAGCATGCAGATGTGGACGGGCTTCCGAGGCGCGGCAAATTGCCCCGTTGTGTGCGCCGTACGGCCTCGCCCCGATCCGTTTGTTGGTGGTACATCAAAAGGAAACAATGCGCAGTACGTGCTCAGCTGCTCAGTCTGAACGGAGAATTTGTACCGTACAGATTTTAGCGAGTTTTTAGGATTTATTTTGCACGAAGTGGAATCAGGAAAACGTTTTGCTTCTCCTGGAATTAAATAATCAGCGTGATATCTTAAGGAGGTCCTTTCGCCACCAATGTTAAATAAAAAATATTAGATTATGCCTAAAATTAATTTTTTTCTAATAGTTGAATTCCTTATTTATCTAATAGTGAACTTTTAACTATACCTTTCCGTGCAAATTTTTGAGAATTTTTTTTTTAAAAATGTGAGTGTACAGTGTCTTACGAGAAAGTAAGACTTTAACAACAATTTTCGAATTATAATTAAGTATACTAATATTTATTGATTAGATGGAGTAGAAAAAAACTAAAAATAAGGTTTTTGAAATATTTAGGTTTTGTTTTTTACAATAAAATATATAGGTCACCGTGGAATTTATTGAGTAATTAATATTAAAAATTCACAAAAAATTTTCAACTGGGTTACTTGAAATTTTTTTTTTATATTAATTTCTCAATAAATTCCATGGTAAACTATATATTTTATTGTAAAAAACAAAACCTAAATATTTAAAGAACCTTATTTTTAGTTTTTTTCTACTCCATCTAATCAATAAATAATAGTATAATTCGAAAATTGTTGTTAAAGTCTTACTTTCTCTTAAGACACTGTACAAATACTCACATTTAAAAAAAAATTCTCAAAAATTTGCACGTTAAGGTATAGTTAAAAGTTAGATAAATAAGGACTTCAACTATTAGAAATAAAATAAATTTTAGTCATATTCTAATATTTTTTATTTAACATTGGTGGCGAAAGGGGTGGCGAAAGGACCTCCTTAAGAGAGCTAAACGCCAGTTCTATTACACCATAAAAAAAGAATATCCTTGGCAGGAAATCGGTCTTCGATTCCTTTCTCTCTTTTTTCTTTAATGTGTCGGCTAAATAATAAAACATGCACTCAACTCCGCGACGTCATCCTCAGCCTTCATTTTTGTTTTAATTTTACGAATTTTCTGGGTATACGGTTGCGCGAATGTACTGGATCAGTGGCGTACAGCGCCTCGTGCGTCCATCATTCGTGTATACAAAATGCGTCGCACGAGGCATTCGGTTCGGCCTCGACTTGCCTCATACGCGTACGTGCTCAGATCTGTACCCGCCTTAAGGGGTGCTGTATTAATCTTGTGTGTAAAAGTTATAGACATGTGTATGTTCTACGAAATTGGTAATATCCATTTTAATATGCAAAGTACTGGTAAAAACCTGGAACATTTTATTAAACAGATGCAGTGGTTTTAATTTTTTTGTAGGCTGAAAACACGTTGGGGTTTATGCATAAACTTATTAACAACAGTGAGAACCTAAATTTAGACTCAGAGAACATCCCTTAGAATTTCAGTCGTTTCACCAGCTGCCATTTTTAATCGGTGTTTCTTTTTTTTTGTATATGTTTCTTTTCCATAGGACAATGAACCCTTGATGAGAGCTTTGACGAAATTGATAAAGGTGAACGAGCCGGACTTAGTGCTATTCGTTGGAGAAGCCCTAGTTGGGAATGAAGCTGTAGATCAATTAGTGAAATTCAACCAAGCCCTCGCTGACTATTCTTCCAATACCAATCCTCATATTATCGATGGGATCGTCCTTACCAAATTTGATACCATCGATGACAAGGTAAAGCATATTTTTTATGTCACTTTTATCAATTTTGATTAGCGCTTATTAGCTCTTAAAGAAAGATATTATCCAATTTCTCTAATGCAAATGGTAAACAGAAGAACCAAAATTACAAGTCTCGAGTCGCACAATTTATTAAAGTGTATAAGTACAATAGTGATGTTGGTTGTAGGTCTAAAAAAAAGAGCACCTGTAATTAACTTGTCGTCATTCAAAATATATTGTAGTGCAGTCTCGAAGCTTTGTTTACCCCTTAGATTAAAGAGACCGGAGATGTAACATTGCACACAGCGCATCTTGTCTTTTCCACTAATTAAAAATTATTGTTTCTACGACGCCACCCGAATTGCTCCGACATTTCTATTCTACACTCATCTCCGTGTGAGTTTAGTCATCATGGATCGCCTTTTTTGAATTATTTGTTCGTGTTATTAGCAATTCAAAGTGTTTTAGTTATTCGATTTCAAGTTGTAAATGCAATGATCTATCGTGAAATATAAGTGCCAATGGTATGAAAGATAAAATATAGTATTTTTAATACAAATCCCGATGCATATCAAAATATAGTATTTTTAATACAAATTCCGATGCACGTCACATATCATTTATAATGTCACGGCCTTGCATTGTTGTCTAATCGTTAGAATAGTTGACGAATTTAGAAAGTTTTGAAATAGTAAGGTCATGTATTTGTTTGTTATATTACTAGTAGGAGTAGTAGAAACAATTCGTTTTAAATATATATAACTAATGGAAAATATTGAATTTCTTTATCCATAATAAACATCTGAACAAAAATCTGTAAACATATTGCAAGTCATGGAAAATAAAACTGTAAGGTAGTATATTGAAGATGAATCAAAATTGGTCCAGAATTAGCACAGAAAATATCTCAAAACTATTTTAATTTCATTATTTAACATAACTAGATTTAAGTTATAAACCACAACACCCCGTATAACATTAAAGAGATCATTGAAAAAATGAAAACTACAAAGGCATATGGAGGAGTCATAATATCAGTAGATAATAGATACCTATACTTAAAGAATTTAAGTTTGAAATTTGTTAAAATATTTGAATACAAAATGGACGTTGTTAAAATATTTGAGTACCTATACAGTGAGCATCATAAGTCTTACCCCCCCCCCTATCTAACTCGTTACTGGAGTCTTGTTAGGAAAATCGCCGAGACACGTCTATTTTTGATTTCTACAATGTACATTTTTGTGTGAATAGTTTACCCTTAATGTCATCCCTTACTGGAGGGGAGCAACCCTTTTGAAAAATTTAAATGGCATGGGGTGGTGAGTGATAGCTCAGTTGAAAGGGGGTTTTATTCTCTATTCAATTGTGCAAAAAATTTTTAAATTTGCTTCATTACATGTTGATTTATTAATGTTTAAAAATAACAAAACATCACAAATAGGAAAGCAACTAAACTAACAGTGACCTTATCTAATGGCAAAAAGTCTTACTTTACGTCTGAACCAAAACCGATATCATGCAGGGCCGAATTTTAATTCCAAGGATGAGTGCGCTACGTTAATTTCCGTTATTCTGAAACAAGGAAGCAATTAAGGAAGCAAATTTCAAAATTTTTTGCACGGTTGAATAGAGAATAAAACTCCCTTTCAAATGAGCTATAACTCACCACCCCATGCCATTTAAATTTTTCGAAAGGGTTGCTCCCTCCAGTAAGGGATGAAATTAAGGGTAAACTATTCATACAAAATGTATATTGTAGAAATCAAAAATCGACGTGTCTCGGCGATTTTCCTAACAAGACTCCAGTAACGAATTAGTTAGGTAAGACTTATGATGCTCACTGTATAGGTACTTTAGTAAATCTCATTTTCAGTAACGGTTCTGTATCTCAAGTATTCAAGATAGCCAGAAATGCTTCAAAAATAAACTGATATCGCTGCTTTTCAACTCTAAATTTTAATTCGTCGTGTCTTCAAATGTTGTTCCCCAAAGTATATTTCGTGCGTCGGTTCGGCGTGGATAGTGGTCAAGGATGGTGTGGCGAAGATGAGACAAGAGCTTAGATTACCTTTACGGTGATAAAAGTCCCTCGAAGTTAGTACCTTCGTTAGGGAGATTCACGGGGAAGGAAAACCTACAAAGTCAATTACATTTACAGGCAATGGTCGGGACGCGCCGGGAAGCCTCCTCTGCAGGAGCAGGAGAGGATAGTATTGCTAAGTCAACACCTTAATTCGACTGACGAGAATTAAATTCGGAGGTCTTTATATACTTGTGTCTGCTTGGCAAAAACGGCTGCATGCTAAACCATAGGCGCCCCTAGAACGGTGTTACTGGGTTACTGGGGAACATCGTTACTTCTTGATCATCTTTTTTCCTTGATTCTTTTAATCCAGTTCACAATGATGCAATATAACCATTAAACATTTGTTTCTCAATCCACTTTTCCCTCAAAGGTTCCAAAGTTATACGTTGACCTGCAAATAAGTATGTATTTATATTACTGTATACAAATTAAAACTTTTATAGGTAATATAAATAAATTATGATTGAATAAATAAATTTGTCGTTATACTTAGGTACTTGTTTCATACATGTTATAAATACCATTTCGAATTCCACTCGTATCCAGTGTCCATTAGTAATCATTTGTTTATATGAATTCCGTCTAAGTAGCGATTTTAATCATTCATTATTCTTGACTGGTTGCGAAGTACTACTAACAGTAAACATATTTAGGTTTAGGGTTGCTGCAATACGCTAAAACAGACAAAAAATCAATTTCATGTCTATACTACACTACATTTCTAATAATTTTTAACTTACTCATACAGCACTTAATGGAGTTGAAGGTAATAGTGATGCATCATTTATGACGCTCTCGTTTAAAATACTGTATTAACGAAGCTCCCTACGACTATTTAGTTTTTTGGCATTTTGTTTGTAGAAATAAAATAAATAATCAGCTTTTCCTCACACTGTTTGTTTTAGAAATCATGACTTCAACTTGTAAACATAACATAAAACCTAACCTAAATCAGTGATTTTTTTTTTAAATATTTTCGGCATCGCCGCAACAAGGTGTACCAAGTGCCATAATGACACTTCTTCTTCATAAATACGAGTTTCATGGGCGTACAGAATATCAAAATTATCTAATGTAAAGTATGTTTTTTGAGTAATTTTTTAAAATTTTATATTATCAAGAATAAGACGTGTATAAGCCAATTAATTGTAGAAATGGGGCATGTTCAAAAATTTTGAATTTTTTTTTATGAATAATAGAGTTGAAAATAAAGCTACATTTTTTTATCTATTCATTTTCCAGAGTTATGCATTTTTTAAAATTTATGACGTCACCGGGAATAGACCAATAGGAGCTAGCGCCACAACGTTGCCGGTTAGAAGGTTTACGAGAAGTGATGTACGTTCGTTTGTGTACTCCTTACTTTTAGACTTCTAAAACATCGTTAAACAAATACCTTTTAAATATATAATATCAAATGTTTTTTGAAAGTATTATTTCTGTTTAAACTTTTACCATATTTAAAGTTTCATTGTTTTAAAAGTTACTTAATAATTCAGAAAATGGCAAAATGGCAGCACTGTTGAATTTGAGTGTTTAATTTTGTACTTTTTATAAATATTATGACTACGAAAAAGTGTTTTGTTCCAGAATGTGATAATGATTCACATTCATCTTCAAAAATATTTATTAGTGTTCCTAGAAATTTGGAAAGAAGAAAATTAACCTTCTACTAGCGATGTTTCTCGTGAACTTTTTAATAAAAATACACCGGATTATCAAGATGTAGCAGCAATTTCTGCTAATTGTCCCGTTCAGGAAATTGAAAATGAGGCTACTATAAATTCTTAGGTGTATAACCTAAAAACACTTCTGGAAGAAAATCCAGAATCTCCTGAAAGTTTTGACGATAGCGAATTTGTTCATCATTTTCTGGAAGAATTAGTGATAAAGAAATAATAGAAAAATGTGAATATTTAAACAAACTGATTCCTGGATTCCATATAATGGCAGATAGGGCCGATAGGGGGTTTAAGAATATTCGGCCATTACCTGAAAACATGGGATGCACTTTAGTAAGACCACCTAGTGTATCACAGAATGAAAAAATGTTCTCCAGAAGATGTACAATTAAGTAAAAGAATAGCATCTCTAAGAATGCATGTGGAAATAGTTATAAGAAGGGTTAGGGAATTTAACATGTTAAAACCACATTCCTGTGTGAATTTTAAGCAAGTACATTTACTTAGTAATATCTGCATAATTGCTTGTTAACTTACAAGAACCTATTTTGTAAGAGTAAATATTAATTTAATAAACTTTTTTCATTTGTTTTTTAATTTAATTTACCTAATTATCACATTTCATGGATTATAATGAAGAGTTGTTAAACAGACAATGTAATTTTTTTATAAAATTTTAACTTTTCGAGCAATTCAAAGAGGAATGAGTACCTGTATATGCATAGATTTTTTTGGGACTAAAACTACTAAACCAAAGGCACCTATTTACAGCAGTTTAAAATGAAACATTTTAACAAAAACGCCTATGTCACAGTGATAAATATTAAAAACAACCAAGTTCAGTTGAATGTGGTAGCAAAGTCTATATATTCCAATAAGTCAGGTAACTACATGTGGTATCCTTGGTGATACATTTAAAAATATCACAATTCTTGCCACCTTTTTCAAAAAACCAGCAAGTGTGCCTTCTTATCATTCCTTGACGAAAATGACAAGTGATAAATGTGAAAAAAAAAAATATGTTGCTATTCGTTATTACGATAGTAAAACATGTTTGCAGTTCCGTTTATTTTTTATGAAAATCTAAGTAAAAACAACCAATGTCAAAGGATTATAATTTTTTTCTCTGTCAAATCAAATATATCACAAAATTAAAAATTGATCGTAGGTCAAGCTAAAGTAATACCTTTATCGATAGTAGCTTTAAAAAAGTAGAAAGAATAATATTGACTTAAGTTATT